TTCCACTGTTTTCATCTCAAAGACATTATTTGTCACTTCCACTTAAGCCTAGTCTGGTGTAAGTGGGATAATATCTAGAATTTGTAAATTATTTTTAATCAAGCTTCAAATTGTGGTGCATCAGACTGTAGTCAGAGCTCCAATACGCAACGCTGTCACTAAGTGTTCGGTTTTGGAGCAGCCTATATCTGAGATGCTTTGGCAAGGGTAGTTTTCCCTTTCACACGTTTTATGATTTCTCCCATTCTTCAAGTTTGCCTTTATCGTGTCATTGATCTGTGATGGGCCGGGTGTTCACTTCTGCAGACTCGTTGAATCGCTTGTAAGGTTCTCAGTTTTTCTATTTTCTTGTTTGCGTGTTGATAGGAAGACATTCAATTTAAACTTTTCCCAACTCTTCCTGTGACTTCATTTATCTTGTGTCTCATTTTGTAATATTTAAGAAATATTCTCCAAGCTGTAAGTTCATTTTAAAGCTTCAAAGGTATGTTTAAAACAAAAGGATGTAAGGTTGTTACCAGCTCATATTTTGAATCTGTGCACCTCATCTTAGTACTTGCCCCTTCCCTCCAACTCTTTAAAAAAAATGTTTCTGACAAATTCTGAAGACCAACTTTGTCCAAAGGCTTTTATTTGCAGAATTGTCAACTAGTTTTATGTCTGCTATCATGGCTTGTACATGGGGTCCTACAGTTTTCCTGTCCTCTCTGTAAATTGTAGACTGCGTATACAAAAAAAGAGGCCTTCATTATGTTGCACAGTAGGAGACCTTTAAATTAGGTCAAGCCAAGCCTCCTACCAGTTATTGTTCTCAATGATTTTGCTCCTAAATAACTAAAAAGAACAATGAATGTGGAAAGTCAAACCCCGGCATCGACAGTATCCACTGTGCAACTTGTCTGTCGGGTTGGCAATAAATTTGGCTGTGCTATGCTAACAGCAGTCAGTATTATGATGAGCTTCTAGCCTGCAGCAAGACGAGCAAGGCACAGACATCTGGCAAGCACACGTC